CTCCGAGAGCATGTTTGCCTTCCTGGCATTCAGTGCCATGTGGCAACTGGAGAAGGGGCAGAGCTGGCTCAGCGGGCTGCTCTTCTCCCTTGCTTCTGGGGTGCGTGCCAATGGGCTTATTAACGCTGGCTTCTTTCTCTACTCCTGCGGTAAACACTTTGCCCTCCAGCTCCAGGTGGGTTCAGGATCGGTAAGGAAGCTCCTTCCGTTGCGGAAGCAACTCCTTCACATGGCATCTTCAGCGGTTCTGATGTGTGCAGGGATTTTTCTGCCTTTTGCTTTATTTCAATATTATGCCTACGTGAGGTTCTGTGGTCCTGGCTCCGGCCTGGAGCAGACTGTTCCCAAGCCACTGCTGCAGCTGGCTCTGGACAAGGGCTATCACCTGCCGGCCACGAACGGGGTTAAATCCCCTTGGTGCTCCCAGCGATTCCCCATGGTCTATTCCTATATTCAAGACACTTACTGGAACGTGGGCTTTCTAAGGTATTTTGAGCTCAGACAGATCCCAAATTTCTTGCTTGCTTTGCCTGTCACACTTCTGGGCTCTTGGGCTGCCTGGACCTACATCATTGCAAACCCCCGGCACTGCCTAACTCTTGGTCTAGAGAGAAGAAAGAACGAAGAAGAGGGTAAGCCAAGAGCTGGATTTTGTTGCCCTGCTGTCTTCGTGTACGTGGCCCATGCCACGGCCCTGCTGGCGTTTGGATTCTTCTGCATGCACGTGCAGGTAGGACCTTGATAGCAACCCAGAGGAGTGATTTCCTAAGGGGAATGCACGTGGTGGCTGCAGCAGCAACAGCCACAGCCCGAAGCTGTCCCGGCTGCAGCACGGGGCAACATGAACCACAGGTTTTGCCTTTCCTCTTCTGGAGCTGCTTGCACGGAGAGTTTCCGGAGCCACTTAGTTCCTCTGCTCTGCCGGAGCGTTCCCGAAGAGAGCTTGGCAGGTGCACAGTGTGATGAGGACGCCGGGATGGGGATCAAAGGGTCCAGCTGGTGCTGGGTGGTGGTTGACGTGTGCTTAAGGCCAGACTGGCCATGTGCTGCTAATCAGCTGTCGGAGGACAGCGATACTGGATCGTGGTCATGGACTGAGCTTAATGGATGGCAACGAAAGGATCCAGAGCCTGTCGCCAGTCCCTAGAAAATGGGACTTTCTAGGACACAGCTAGTGGCACTAGAGGTTGGGGGTTCCAGTGAAAAAATAATTGCAGAGTGAGATTCAAATCTCCCCTGAAGCTGCCACCCCTGCCCAGTTCCTGAGCTGGTGACCAGGATTTCAGTCAGATGGTGACAATTAGTTACTGTCCTTGTCCAAAACCTGGCGGCCACTTGACTGTGTACACAAATGTCGTGATAAATAAAGCAGGTTGAGCTGAGAGGGGTTCCATTTCAATGTAATAAATCCCAGTGCTGCCAGCTGGGGCTGTGTTTCAGTCCCCTTTGTCAGCGGTCCGTTTGAGGCAGGTGGCTCCTTCGGTGCCTCGGGATCAGGGCATTGGATGGTTTCACCACTGGAAACCTGCAGTTTACGTGATTTTTGCTCTGCCTGTCGTCCTCAGGTGCTGACCCGGTTCCTCGGCTCCTCCTCTCCCATCCTGTACTGGTTCTGTGCTCACCTGCTTCAAGAATATGAACCTTTGCTCTGGAGCGAAGGGACTGATAACGAAACCGCGGCACCTCGCTCCGAGAAGTCTCTTCTAGGTAAATCTCCTGGTTCCTGTGGGAAAGAGACTTGGGACAACCCGGTCGTGAGGCTACTGCTGAACTGTAGATTAATCACCCCCCTCAGCAAGTGCATTCTCGGATTCTTCCTGTCCTACTGGCTGCTGGGACTGATTCTGCACTGCAACTTCTTGCCGTGGACGTAGCGCGGGTGTCGGTGCCAGCGGGTCACAAACACTGGTCAAAATTGGAACTCGTTTTTGCTAAAAACCCTGATGTATATGTGAGGAAGCTGTTGTGTCGGTTACAAAGGCGTTACTCCTCAGTTACTGCTTGCATACAGAGCTGTCGCCGCGTGACCGTGTCCGAGACGGGCACGTTCTTGCTGTGATGCTGCAGCATCCTGCCCCTCTCTGCTGTCAGTCTGACGGCCAAAATCCCTGTGAGCTGCCTGGGGCAGGGATCGCAGCTCGGTTCTTATGTCTTCGGGGGGAAGTACTGCCATCGAGCGATGATTTCTGGCGAGGATCCGTCTGTTGGATTCTCAGCCGTCGGGGAAACCTCCGGGACGTGTCCTGGTGGCACAGCGAGGATCCTGCTGCCTCGGACCTCGCTGGTTCCTTCTCATCCGAAGCGCTTGCCACGTCCCGGAGCAGGGCTGCGGCGGGCGCGGGGCGGAGAGGGGCCGGTGGGGCCGGGCCGGGGGTCCCCGAGGGAGGGACCGGCTGCGGCTGCTCCTCGGGGG